GTTCACATTTCCCTCCCTTCCGTCATTTTGCGAATCGGCTCAACTTTCATCTCGTCTTGTTGGTGATTATTTGTTCTAACCCTCAGATTGGGTAATCTTATAGATGTCAGCTTCCCTCCAGAACTTCAAGAAAGCCGTCTATAAACCTGCCACTAATGATTTACACACTTAAAAGTCTTTACTCTATGAACAACTTAGGAGTATCTATGAAATAATGATGAGTTCATATTATTGTGCTTCAAGCATTTCATTCCTAATTTCTTCAAGTTCATTAACGAGGGGGCAGGTGCATGAAACTGTCAGTCAAGTTATTACTTTACTCAGAGGTAGACCGAATGACCACTGCTTACCTCTTAAAGACAATTTATAAAGGGACAAAATTTCATGATATCAATTTATTGGTACATGGTTAAGCAACCTTACTCTGTGGCTCATTGGTTTAGGGAGTTGACTTCCTGCCAGCAAAACGCACGTTAGAAAACTGCCCCACCTACAGGGATTTAGGAAGCCAGGTAGTAGTGTGATTACCTCCCACACAATAGACATGGTTCATTGCATGCTGCAAGAATGCGGACAAGGTTATCGAGTACATTTCATGTTTTTTTTCTGTTCATTCTAATTAAAGACTATCCAATTACTTCGTATCCACTGTTACTTTATTCGACCTCGACTTGCAATGCTAGAGCAAGTTGGATTACGTTGAACGAGGGTTCAGGGTGGCTAGACCAAAGCTTGGCAACAGTCCATGAAGTCTCTGACTGTTAGTAACAGCCAGGTAGGGAGATGTCGCCGATATGAAAGGAATCAGTGGTTGGGGATTCTTGGTGTCTTGACTGGAAATTGGTCATAATGGCGTAGATGTATTCACTCCTTGACATTTTCTAAAGGTTGGATATTCTCTTTAAACTTTATCTTAAAGTTGCCTTGTCTGTCTACTCGGACACCATTCTTCTTCCATCCATTCCTTCTTTGTGTACTATTGTGAAGTGTGGAACATTATGGAGTTCTACGTTGTTTGATTGACAAGAAGTCCCAATAAAACATTAGACTAAATTCACCTGTACTTCTGGATAGGGAAATGAAAGATGTTGATGAATATTGTATGCAATTCAACCGAGGTTGTTGTGGACCATTAGATTCTGATCCAGTGGTTAGCAAAATGGTAACTGATGTCAGTCAACGATGAATACCAACTTGAAACAATCAATCATCATTGATGTCAAATATCTAAGATTTCACATTTTGACCGATTAAATAAGATGGAAGAAGAGAATGGGTCTCATAGACAAGATTTCATGTTTGTTACTCAAATGCCAACCATATTTATTGACTATTTCTCTTCATATTGTCTCCTTTCCCATCTAAATTTGGCTTCTTTGTGATTATTTTCATGATATATCTGAAACTGATTCATCTACTGTTCTGTAATCAACCGTAGTGCATCAAAATCAAGGGATTGAAATGCACTTAGCAGCTACCCTGTGTACATTTGTGTAGTGGGCAATGAACCACACCAATCTATTGTTTAAGAGATAATAGTGTTACCTGGTTGTTCATACTTAGATAAGTGAAGCTGAGTCCAAATCCAAAACCCATCAGTTGAAAATGAGATGTCTAGATAAGTGAGCCATCGCTCCACAACGTGACACATAACTGACCACAGTTAGTTGGCATAGGAGTTGGTACAGGAGAGTACTTACTTAGCTCCATAATGAAGCACAGTATTCAAGCTGCAATAAACTTGAGACATCTGAAAACCTGAAAATGATGCGTGTTCAACTACATTTACTTCCAATATGAAAAGTAATTTTAGGGTGGAAGTGTAGCATTTTGGCATCTATGAGTGACTGAAATGACCTTGAAGGCACTAATATGAATATGATTGTTTATCGACTATTCCTAATACAGAAATGATGAGAAATTGAGGTAGATATGGGTGTTTAACATCGTTTAGGTACTCATCTAGATTCCTGACTCTTTCTTACTGTTTAAAAACAGAAGTATTCACACAAAAACTATTCATCTAACTGTAACTGGACAACATTGAAACTTGTAAACTGTGATATGGACTTATATAAGCATTCCATCGGATTTCTATCACTTCGATATTATTTATCTGAAGGATTTGAAAATTACACTTACTGAATTAAAAATGGACATCAGGTTCATGAGATTGGATCTTTACAATAGACCAAGAGATTTTGATGTGTTGAACTTGAGAATTAAGTTATAGAGCAGCGAACAAACAGAGATTGGGTTGTTTTTTCTGCACTGCAAGTCACAAAACGACCCAATTAGTGTTTGTTAGCTGCATTATGATGTAAGTGGTTCCACAAACTGACTTGAAATCAAATGGTAGGATTTGAAAGAGGTTGAACTGATGGTTGTGCAACCTAATCTCAAAGTATAGTGCAGTGTGGACTCAATGTTCTTAGTTTGTTTTGTCCATCTTGAAAAATGCAAGCATGCAAAAAATTTCTCAGAATCAGGGAACAGTACAAGTCTACGTACGATAAGTGGAATTATTCTCTTTGATTCAATCAGAATTCGGTCGTAGAGGTCTGTGGAGATTTATTGGTATTGAATACGTATTCATCATGAAATGATTTGATTCGAGGAACTTAGAAGCACTTGACAGTTGTTTCGTTTAACTGTAGGGATCCCCAGCTGTGTGTACATATGACCCACTGGTAATGAGCTCGCCAAAGAACTTAAAGGTGCCAGGTTCGATCTATGGTGAGGTTATATGTACTCACAGTTGGAGGAGTTCCAAACTGTACCAAAAATCATTAAAAATCTTTTTAATGATTTTTCAAGTGATGTCATTTCATGATGAATACCATATGAAAAGCCATCTAAACGGTTATCATCAAAATTCTGCATAGGGCTATCTATAATCAGTAATTTGCAGCTTTCCAGAACGAACCCACAATCACCTTGAAAGTGATTACCCACTTCAAAGTCATACGGTGATCTATGGAGGTCAGCGAAATTCCATAATTCCACTCAATGGTTTTGCAATTCAAAATGTTATCCGTGAAACTGTAGACTTTTTAACATCCACAACTGTTTAGTTCCCTTCAACATGATTGGTTACTTCAAGGTTATCTTTTTGTCTGTCGACAACAGTGAAATTCTATAGCTATATGAGTTTCATTTTCAAGCATTTCAAAATATTATCAGTGAAACAGCAAATTTCTCTGCGTCCATAGATATTTTTTCCGGTTTTCCACATAACATTCAAATAATATAATGTGTAAAGGTATATGACAGTAAATAATGATGATCGATGATTTCAGTGATGATGTGAAAGTTTTAGAAATGAAGTTGTCGAATGACTCCTGTAAAATTGATTTCATTAGCGATTTTCATCTCTGAAATCTACCATAGGTAGGTAAAAATTTCAGGTGTAATAAATTAGGACCTTTGAAGGATTAAACATGCACTTTATAGGCCTGAGTAAATCAATTTCATCTCATGTGGTTAGTTGTGTAGAGAAAATTAAAGTACTGATAGACTCGTCAGTGTATTCAATTTCAGTTTTTTAATCAGATCTACTTGACTTATAAGCAACTAATCACAAGTTTGAGCTCTATTTTGCTTACTTTGACGTTGACAGTCAGGTAGTATCATCAACCCGTACAAGCATGTTTGGCTCACAGTTTGATGCATAAACATGAGTCAGGTTGAGCTGTAGGTATTTTGCAATCAGTGGTGAACACTGTGAACAAGACAGCTACATAGGAAGGGGATCCAATCACTTCTCATTTGCTCCTTCATGGTAGAATCGAGATCACAGCTTACGTCGAATTATGTGGTGTGTTTTCGGGAAATGTAGCCACATAAAAATCGCATTGGAACTAGCTACTAGGGTGAGACGATCACATGAGAAGTAATTGAAACTATCATCATCATCATCATCAAAATTCTCCATAAGGTTGTCTCCAACTGGCAGCATTTTCTCACTATTTCAAAGCTTTTCAAAACTACCGCACAGTCACTTTCAATGTGATCGATCATGTCAAGGTCAGTTGGCAGTCACTCAACGGTGATAAAATTCTACAGTTTCACATCGTATGCTTAGAAAAGATGATGTATGCAGCTCCTATCTCAGTCTCTACAATGTGACTTTGTTAACCACTGGGTCAAATGTGGAAATGCTGAAGAATATTTGTAGCTCAGATGGATGATCTTTGTTGTGTTGGGTTTTCTGAGCTGGTTGGCTTACTTATAAAGCCTTATTTTCTTTCTAGACAACAGCACCAGCACTAATTTCAGCAACAATTGGGGTATCAGTATATTCTCCGTGAGTGATTCAGTAGCTTGCCTTAATGACGTGATTTAAGATTGGTTGCCTCTTTTCGTTGTTGTAGCATTGACAGCTTACATTTTTCTGTTAGCCATCTTTCTACTTGATCTCTGACCTTAAAAGTGTTTACATGAACATCAGTTGGCTATTAAACGTCACAGTGTTATGTCACTCACATGTGGAGATCTGTGAAAATGAATTGAACTTTCAAAATTTAGAAATATTGGACAGAGGAAACGCAAGGAATGTCGGAGAATTCGTAGAAGCTTGGCACTCAGGTCAGTCAGCGATAAATAGTTGTACAGACATAGACCCAATCTATTAGCCAATAAGAAAACTGATAGACAACTACAAGGTCAAACATCAGGTACAGAAATAACCAATAGAAAAACTTTTCTAGTCAATGACACAAAAATCAAAGAAAACAACCAATCACAAAACAGTTTGTCAGACGAAGCTACTTAATCACTCACGGAGAGATAATGACAGCTCACTTCATGTTGAAGTTAGTCATGATGATGTTGTGTAGAAACACGGTGAAAGCGTTACGATTAAATCATCCAGCTTACAGAATACAACACAACCAAGGCCAAATGTTAAAAATGATCTTTTATGATTGGTTAAATTAACCATTGATGTTTTCAGTCTTCTTTTAGTTGATCGAAGCAACACAATTTATGTTTTACAACAGATACAACAACCGGCTAATAATCATATTCAGAAAAATGAAAGTCCCATAGAGAACTCAGATCCTAAACAACCATCTATAGTAGAAACAAATAATTCTCAACTTCAATATGAACCAGAGATAAAGCATACAAAGTCTACTCTTCCTAGTACTTTCAATCGTCATATGTGGGTGAATACCTGTCCTACGAGTGTATTTCTTAATAATCGTTCAACCAAGATCTTAAATATGGATATCAGGTTAGTTTATTATATTGTGAAGAAAAAGGCTTTGAATAGAGTAAGGTACAAAGATATTTACAGAATAAAATGAGTTTAGTCTGTTTCATTGCTTTTCGTCAGCTGCAAACAGCCTACATTTAAAATGAAATAGTAGTAGGTAGTAGTGATAGTAGTAATAATGAACCTCGCCTCAGCACAAAGAAAAAAGGTCCGGATTTTTAACACCAATGTCAAGTCAGTGCTGTTATATGGTTGGGAAACTTGGCTCGTTACGAAAAGCATTTCCATCGAACTACAGACTTTCATCAACAACTGCCTACGCTGGCCTGATGCTGAAGATCAGATGTGAAGGCGAGAAAGAATAAGCAAGGAGGAACTCTGGCTGGCTGGGAACGAACCAATCAGCAACAGCTCAACAAATATGCAGAAGAATGTGGAGATGGATTGGGTACGCATTGAGAAGACCATTCTGGGACACCACGCGCCAGGCATTCGAGTGGAACCTAGATGGGAAGCGACGAGTTGGGCGTCCTAGGTGAGAGTGACATGGGGGAGATGGTGTTAGGAAGAAATGAGAGTTTGTGGGGAGTCGTGGCGCCAGGTCCAAAAGACTGCAGAGAAGAGAGTGGAATGGAGGCATGCTACTGAAACCCTATATTCCACTAGAAATCCAAGGGAAAAATCATAATAATAGTAGTGATGATGACATTAGTTGTTGGGAAATAAATGAAGGCTCGAAATTTGTGAAGTATATTATCAAATGCCTTAGGATGATGTTCACTTGTGTAACGTGTATGATAAGTATCAATAGGTAACGAGTTGATTCAGGCTAGCTTCATAAATAAAAATTAAGTGGTTCAAGGATTACAATCTTATCAATGAATTCTGGATAAGTGAATGGTTGGATTCCTGCAGATGTCAAATGAATATACATTTGAGGGATTGAAGTAGTAAATAAAGCGCCTATCAAGTAATCCTTCATCTTCGATTTGTTCTGAAACATGCATATGTCTTGAATTATGACTTCCATCTACTAATTTGTAGAGTATCAACTACAAGCGGCACAGACGAGGACATCAAAGCCAGGATCGAAAAAGAAAGAAAGGCGTTTATTAACCTGAAACCAGTGTGGAGATCTTCTGCACTCATCATGTGAAACAAGATCTGGATTTTCGACACCTACGTCAAGTCAGTGCTTCTGTATGGCTCAAAGACTTGGCGCGTTTCGAAAGGGATTCCAAACAAACGCCAGATATTTATCAACAACTGCCTATGCTCGTTACTGAAGATCAGATGGCCATAAAGAATAAGCAAGGAGGAACTCTAGTTGGCGACGAACCAACCAAGAACCCATTGTTCAACAAATATGCAGTGGAAGGAAGTGGAGATGGATTGGGCATACACTGAGAAAGCCGACTGTGGACATCACGCAACAGGCCAGGCAGTCGAGTGGAACCTAGATGGGAAGCGACCAGTTGGGCATCCGAGGTGAGGGCGAGGGTGCTACTGAAGTCCTATTTTCCATTAGGAACCCAAGGGACAAATAGTAATAATAATATATAATAATAATTTGTAGAGTATATCCTCTGAGGTAAGAATGATACAACTAGATCATACATAACTATGAAATTCCAGCATAGATTTTTCTTGAAACAGAAAAGCTTAAAATCTCAATTGCTAGCTAATTCAACACTGTTGATTACGTAAAAATTACAAATGGGAAAACTGTACGATGTATATTTTTAACTGAGATCAGTAGTTATCAATGGCTTGGTCACAAATGGCTTTTTAGATCACTTTAATATGATCCATAAATAATCATTTCAATGATTGGCATATATATTGCCTATGGACTATATATTTATCGAGGTAAATGAGATGATATTACAGTTTGTTTAATATAAACTGATTTGAGTAGTTGGATATTGAACACTGAACTGATCAATTAAGCATATCTTATACATTTCAACTGGGTACCATTGTACAAGTTAACATTTAGAACTTTTTCCTAATTATAGACAAGATGTATAGTGATTTGTTTGTTTTAATAACCTAAATGATAAAGTTGTTAACTTCTTCAACTAGGAAGCTGAACAATATACGTTTTAAATCATGATGACAGAAACATTTCACTGAGTGATATTGTCAAGTAAATAGCTTCACTGTATACTTAAATGTAAAAGAAACTGATAAGAAAACTGTACATAATAACTTGAGATATCTCTGAAGAAAAGTTGGAAACTCTAGATGATATGATATGGATTTGAGTAGCGCAGATGTATATACACATTATCATCAGTTTATAACTAATATATCATATTTCATAATTGTATTCTAATCTGTCTTCCTCTTTTCTCTCTTCATAACTTTCTGTAGTTTTCATTACTATTATTATCGTCTTCTTTATCTTTCTCCCTTTCATCTTGGTTTCATCTTGGATACAGAAGGCTCATTTAGCATTTGCTAACATGCGTCATCGCTTGTGCCGACTGGTGCGATATCCGACTACATTTTAAACTACAAGTATACTGCGCTGTTAGATGATTGTGAGGCATGACTAGATAAGACAGAAAAGCCGGTCGACGACGTTGTGAAGCTTCAACTGACCTTGACGTTCAGTGTTACAAAAAGTTGGATCATGTTAGAAAAAACTTCAGGGTGACCAGACCAAGACATGTCACCGATTCATGAAGTCTCTAACTGTTTATCTGAGCGATGTAGAGATATAGACTACCTGGATGGCGTCCTCAAGACAATAGGAATCAGTCGTTGAAGGCTCTTGGTAATAATAGAGTTTTCAAAAGTTTTAACATTTTCATTTATCGATCCACTTATACGCGAGGTCCTGCGTTGACGCTTTCTGTCTAACTATCTGGATTTCGTGGTATGAGGTGCAGTAAGTTGAACCACCACGTTCGACGTTCATACTGACTGACTGGTTCACTAACTGACCGATGCTTTATAAAGTTGGCTACGAGGGAAGTGAGATAAATTCGAAAACCAGGAATCAAGCTATCCCATCAAACTGTCGATTTATTTATATTTTTTCCCTCTAGTTATTTGCAGAATTTGTCATACCACATGATGATTTTCTTTTCTAGAAATTATCAATAAAACTGTTTGGAATGTATAGAAATCCGATCTCCAGTGGGTAATTAATATTGCTGTCTAGTTTTTAGTGCTTAGCCACTGATCGAAGTCTCTCTATTTAGTTTTGCAATATGGCCACTGAACTAAGTTACATAATTCTGGGATACTGCTATGGAACGGAAGTACGACCTACTGTCTACGAGCAATATGAACCTAACACGTTAATGAGTCGACTCTAACGCAAAGTAAATCGTCAACCACCACAATGCTGAATATATATACATTTCTAAATGACCTTGACAACACTAAATCAACAAATAGGCTAAAATAGTTAACAACTAATGAGAGTTCAGCCTTGACAGTAGAGGGAAGGAAAACTAGCAACGATGGGAAAACAGCCGTGTAGGTTATTTGAAGGTCATAGGCAAACAGGCAAAAGCTATGCAAAATTAGGGGTATATAGCAGGTGAACTATATTTTCCTGTTAGTTGGCAGAAGACAATCAGCAAGAAGCTCTATTTGATGATATGGTCTTCATGTCTGCTGAAACTCCTCAACAGGGAGCATTACATTCCACTGATGATAGGGGATTGTACGATTAACTACTGAAATCTGAAGTTTCATCTAAATTCATTAGGATCTCCACATAGTTGTATGCATCAAGGTAAAGCGTGTACAGTTTGGAGTTTCGTCAGCGGTTCATTGATTTCTATTTGGTATTAATCGTGGACTGACATCTATTAGAAATCACTGAAAAGACAGAAACATTAAACAGCTGTTTCGTTCTATTGTAGGATTCGTCAGCAGTGCACAACCATGCCTACATTATAAGTTGCAGTCATGACTTTCATGTTTTGCAATGCACACAAGCTTATAGGTGGGATTCACCTGTTTGTTAGTATCTAAAGCATAAACTTTTATAGCTTCATGAGTGAAAGGCTAATTTTACCTCAGCGTTTGAACTGTTTTGAGATGTCTACCGTTTGCCAGTACCAAGGTTAGTTTTGTAAGACCGCCATGTTTGACTGACTGGTCACTGTCTACTCTGTTATGTAGTAAGCTGGGGTTGATCTAGCCTACGGGAAAGGTTAAACACGAGGTGACTGAAATATGGTATCTTCCTATGAAGTGTCTAACTGTTCGTCTTAGCCGCTTAGGGAGATGTAGATTTTTCCGTTGAGATCCACGTGACTACCAAAATCAGTGACTGGAGACCCGGAGTAAAGTGGCTCAGAAGTGACTATTCATTACCTTCATCTTAGACGTTATACTGACCGACTAACTAACTGGTTGGCTGGCTAACTGACTGACTGTTACACACCAACTTTTGTACTACTATTGATTGGTCGTATTATCCAAAGATCACACCGCATTCTTATTTGATCTTAGTCCTATCCACCATTATATAGTATACACTTCACTAGATGTCAACTGTTAGTTTCTTTGTAGAAACGGACAGTGAAATATCTACATTTTCTTTCATCAGTATGACATCCCTAATTGTTTACTCACATACCTTGTTTATCCGTTTACCTTTTTTCTCATTTAGTACCTCAAAAGTTAATCACATTAAACAAAGACGGATGAAGAAAGAATCACCTTTTGTGAGTTAAATTTTTCTGTTTTCCTAGAATTTCTAATACTTGTTTTCAGTAGTATGAATGAGTAGTAGGGTAACAGTGAGGCTTAGGCTATGTGGTTCATACTGTTTAACACTTATCGAATAGATTTATCTGTTTTCAAGTGAGTCACTTTGTTCCACTATGACTCAGAATGTAGCTGCCTTTCACTTCATATGCCAAAGCGTTGTTCACTAGGCTACTGAGTTTCTATTTGTCACATTTTGTGTGATAGATACATCGATGTAGTTGGTAACTTCAAGTCTGATAGTAATGAGATGTATATGATGATAGATTATCATTTGTGGTTCAGTTAGATCCATGAACTCAAATTAGATGTATTCAAAAACAAATGCGCAGTCTGTGCTGAAAAATCTCACCGTCGTTTTCTACGAAAATCAATATATATATATATATATATATATATATATATATATATATATATATATATATATTCACATTACATAACTTAATCTGTTCAACACTTCAGTCAGTGTAGAGATTGTCAGGATGAAGCTGACAACAGCGATCAGCTGTGCTCTTGACACCATTTTAGAGTGTCAAGCAAACCAAACTGTATGATTTGAATACTTTGGTTTCCCTATATGGTTAGATTTCTAACCATGGACTGAGTATTTTTGTAAACATCTAATTTGATTCTGTGTATGACCAGTCCAATCAAGTAGCTATCCAGAATTCTGGATCAAACTGGTTACAGCAATGTTACACTCAACTCGAAACGAAAGAAACACCTTTTTGGTGTTTAGATCACATTCATCTGGTTAGTGAGCAGAGGTTCAGAACTACTCATATTAATCAGTAGTATATCACGTGAAGATCTACAGAGTATGTTTCAATCTGGTATTTAATCCTTTGACAACTCAGATTAAACATACCATCCTACTACGTTAAAAACATGAGTGACTTTGAAAGTCACCTTAGCAACAGCTAAAGTAACCAATCAGCTAGAAAGTCAAATTTTTATAAAATAAGGCAGTCTAATTTGTTATTTCATCGTTTCCCACTTGGCTTCCACGCGAAGGGCATGTATAGCCTGACGAATGATGTCCATAAATGGTCTTTTCACTGTATACTCAATCCATCTCCATATTCTTCTGCATATTTGTTGAGTGATAGGCTGTTGGTTAGTTCGCTACCAGGCCATAGTTCCTCTTTGCTTATTCTTTTTGACCATCTGATCTTCAGTATCAAGTGTAGCCAGGCAGATGTTGATGAATGCTTGTAGTTTGTTGAGAATGTTTTTTGGTACGCCCCAAGTTTCTGAATCATGTAGAAGCACTAACTTGACTGACTTAGTATTGAAAATCCGCATCTTGTTCATGCTTCATGCTGAGTGCAGTAGATCTCCACACTGATTTCAGATTGATGAAGGAAGGCCTATCTTGCTTTTACGATCCTGATTGGCTTTGACGTCTTCATCTATGCCATGTGTATTTGAGACGATTCTGCTTATTTCTGTAGGTGAAAGAGACTACTTTCTTTAGGTTTCTCCCGTTGTTGATTGGGAATCTTCATCATCTCTGTCTTCTTTACATTCACTTGAAATCCCAACTTCGTTATCTCGCCTCTTCTATCAACGTTTTTTGTTTGATTTTTGCCTACAGATCTTCGAGTTTGTGCAACAAGAGATTAGACATAAGTCATCGACGGAGTGCAAGTATTCTAGAGTATTTTCATTGGTCAACCAATCAGATTGCAGGAAGATAATTTTTTATAGAATAGAGAAATTTGAAGTTGTTATTCATCGAAGACTGACATCAGTTGGAGGAACACAGGAAACCTGGGAGCACTGGACAGCTGGCTGTTTCGGCCTAGTATGGGACTCCTCAGCAGTGCGCACCCACGACCCCACCAGCAGGGATCGAACCCGCGACCTTCAGGTTCCGCGACCAGCGCGTTACCACTGAGCCACTGGGTCAGAATCCAATGCTCCATATTTCCAACTTCTGTTAGCTCACGATATAGCGCAAACCGCCACCAAATGTCATCGTTGACTATTTGTCCTCACGGCCATCAGGCTTTGACTCCAGCGGTCACGACTTGTCATTGGAACTTCGGGAATACTTCTCGAAGCTAGTCACCAACGAGCACTAGTTCAATTAAATTTTGAGGGGGTTGTGGAGATTTGGAAATATTTCAAGTTGTTATTTGAAACAATTTGAAACAATTGGTCCCTTTAATAAATTTCGATAACGCTATTAGAAGACGAAGATTATCTGAGCAATGTGATGTATTTGCGCAATACATTTCCAACAATCTGATCACACATTTACTTGTCAAGTCAATTTATATATGAAAATTAAAGGTCAAATATAGTGAATATGAAATGGTTGTGACACTAGTCTTGGTAATATAATCAGATTGCCAAGGATTACCAAGGTAAATTAAGTGAAACAACAAACTGTTTTTGTACACACAGTGGGGGATTAAGTTTACAAATGGCTAACGCTTCGGCAAACTTCAGTATACGCCCCTGATTATTCCTGTATATTATCTTAAACGCTGTTTTCGTATTAACCCTGTGATTCATTTCAATAATATGTTTTGCTATAGATGACGATGAATGTCTGTCACCTGCACTTATCAAAGTTTGTGTGTTAAACTGTTTTTCTAGCCATTTGAGGATGTGTCCACCCACCCTAGTCTGCATTGAACGATTACTCCTCCCTATGTATGTGTGCCCACATATACATGTAAATTGGTAAACACAGTAGGATATGATGTAATCATTTGTGCGAGGTTGAGGTTTGTGGTGAAGCAGGTGTTTTGTCGTCTCAACAATGATAAGCTGAGCTGCATAGTATGTTTTACTGATAACAGATTTTAATCTCTGCTTCAATATCATACTACTTGTTTCCCCTGTGTATGGTACTTTAAGAAATATGCTTTACTTCGAGACCGAGGAAACTGTAGGCTTTGGGGTCAACTGTTTTTTACAATGGTTGACAAACTGTAATGGATAACCGTTTTCCACTAGAGTGTCTGTCAGAAACTTATTCTCATCATCCATCGTATCAGATGTACAAATACGTTGGATTCTATTGAACAAGCATCTTACCAAGCCTCTCTTATATTTCATCCGACAAAAACTATGGAAATTCAAATGCTGTCCTGTCCAAGGAGACTTCCTATATATTGATAATGAATGATAATGAATAATTACAGTCATTTCTTATGCAAACACGTGACGAATGTCATATAAATATAAAGAACAAGATATTCAGCGAAGAGACTCTTTTCAACGAATTTATTTTCAAGCTGTACAATCGTATATATATTGTATTTGGAAAAAATTATATCCTGTGAGGAATATATATATAAATATAAGGTGACCTTCAGGCAACCAATAGCAAATCAACGACACTATGCAGTCTGATAGGTAGTTTGCACATTCTTAAGTGTAATCAAGGTCTAGTTAAACTCTTTAACACGGATGTCATTGCTAAAGCGGAGTTTAATTCCTTGAAACCCATGGGATCTTATTTCCCAAATCTATATTATATTATATTATATTTGACCTTTAATTTTCATATATAAATTGACTTGACAAGTAAATGTGTGATCAGATTGTTGGAAATGTATTGCGCAAATACATCACATTGCTCAGATAATCTTCGTCTTCTAATAGCGTTATCGAAATTTATTAAAGGGACCAATTGTTTCAAATTGTTTCAAATAACAACTTGAAATATTTCCAAATCTCCACAACCCCCTCAAAATTTAATTGAACTAGTGCTCGTTGGTGACTAGCTTCGAGAAGTATTCCCGAAGTTCCAATGACAAGTCGTGACCGCTGGAGTCAAAGCCTGATGGCCGTGAGGACAAATAGTCAACGATGACATTTGGTGGCGGTTTGCGCTATATCGTGAGCTAACAGAAGTTGGAAATATGGAGCATTGGATTCTGACCCAGTGGCTCAGTGGTAACGCGCTGGTCGCGGAACCTGAAGGTCGCGGGTTCGATCCCTGCTGGTGGGGTCGTGGGTGCGCACTGCTGAGGAGTTCCGTACTAGGACGAAACAGCTGTCCAGTGCTCCCAGGTTTCCTTTGTTCCTCCAACTGATGTCAGTCTTCGATGAATAACAACTTCAAATTTCTCTATTCTATAAAAAATTATCTTCCTGCAATCTGATTGGTTGACCAATGAAAATACTCTAGAATACTTGCACTCCGTCGATGACTTATGTCTAATCTCTTGTTGCACAAACTCGAAGATCTGTAGGCAAAAATCAAAAAAAAAAACGTTGATAGAAGAGGCGAGATAACGAAGTTGGGATTTCAAGTGAATGTAGAGAAGACAGAGATGATGAAGATTCCCAATCAACAACGGGAGAAACCTAAAGAAAGTAGTCTCCTTCACCTACCTAAATAAGCAGAATCGTCTCAAATACACATGGCATAGATGAAGACGTTAAAGTCAACCAGAAACGTAAAAGCAAGATAGGCCTTCCTTCATCAATCTGAAATCAGTGTGGAGATCCACTGCACTCAGCATGAAGCATGAACAAGATGCAGATTTTCAATACTAAGTCAGTCAAGTTAGTGCTTCTACATGATTCAGAAACTTGGGGCGTTATCGAAATAGAGAAATTTGATTGGTTGTTTCATCAATTCTTAGGGTGACCATTTAAATTCATCTCTGATTAATATATTTTTCTGAATTTTTTTTTTCTTTTCTTTTCATTTCTTTACTAATATACTATAGGCAAGTAAAACTTGTTTAAGTCAACCTAATACAGGAAAATTAAATGATGTCAATGTAACAAATAATAATTCAAATTTATTATCTATTCCATGTAATAAAAGTGTAACAAGATTAAATATTGAATCAAGTAGAGAAGGGATAAATCTTCATCAATTAATACGTGATGCAAATCAACCAGGATTTTGGCCATTATTATATAAAAAGTTACTTGAATTACAAGCTACTCAATCTAATATGATTGAAGAAGATATGAATATGAAAAATGTATGTTAATAATTTATAAGAAATAAAATTTATTTGAAGTAAAAAGATAAATTACTTTTAGTTATTTCAATTCAATTTTTCTAAGAATCATAGAGAAAGAAAACAAAATAACCTTTCTGAATATTCTTCTTTAAAGAAAAGTAAGTGGATTGCTATGCCTTGTTATACAATGTTGGCTCAAGCTGAAAAAAGGTCCGAGATGGCAAGACTAAAACATGGCACTAATGTATGAAGTCTTTGACTGTTGGTTTGAGCCAATGTGGTGGGGCAATGCAGACTAGGTGGTAGGAGGAACCACCTTACTACCTCTCTACTTGATGTACTGATATGAGGTGTGGCAACTCACACTGTTATGTAGGAATCCCTGGTCCTAGGTTGATCTGGATGGATCGATGGCTAAAGAGGTACTTTTTTTCAAAAAAAAAATACACGGATCGAAGGAGATATACACTTTTGTTACTTCGCTCCTGATATATCTTTGTAATATTATATTATTATTATTATTAGTCCCTTGGGTTCCTAGTGGAACATAGGGCTTCAGTAGCACGCCTCCAGTGACCTCTGTTCTCTGAGATCTTTTGAACCTGGTCCCACGACAGCCCAGAAGCTCTCATTTCCTGCTCGCACGACCTCCTCCATGTCACCCTTGGACGTCCAACTCGTCGCTTCCCATGGGGATTCCACTCGAGGGCCTGACGCGTGATGTCCTCAGTCGGCCTTCTCAGTGCATGGCCAATCCATCTCCACTTCTTCCTGCATATTTGTTGCGTGATAGGTTCTTGGTTGGTTCGTTCCCAGAGTTCCTTGTTGCTTATTTTTTCTGGCCATCTGATCTTCAGCAGCGAGCGTAAGCAGTTGTTGATGAATGTCTGTAGTTTATTGGAAATACCTTTCGTGACGCGCCAAGTCTCTGAGCCATACAAGAGCACTGACTTGACGTTGGTGTTGAAAATCCGTATCTTGTTCCGCATGCTGAGTGCAGAAGATCTCCACACTGGTTTCAGGCTAATGAATGCCTGTCTTGCTTTTCCGATTCTGACTTTGACGTCCTCGTCCGTCCCGCCTGTAGTTGAAACAGTGCTTCCTAGATAAGTGAAGGAGGTTACTTCCTTTAAGTTTCTCCCGTTGACAGTGATTGGAGTTTGTTGTTGTTGATGGTGGTGGTGCGGTATCTTCATCACTTCTGTCTTCTCTATATTCACCTGAAGTCCCGTCTTCGCTGCCTCTTCTATCAACTTGTTAGTTTTTGCCTGCAGATCTTCAAGTTTATGTGACATTAGGCATAAGTCATCGGCGAAATCCAAGTCTTCTAGGTTCTTTTCCGTCGTCCAGTGTATCCCCCTCTTCTCGCTGCCTACTGTTTGCTGCATGATCCAGTCCACCACAATAAGGAATATCATGGGGGATAGTAGGCAACCTTGTTTCACTCCTGTCTTCACTTCAAAGGCATCACTGAGCTTCCCATTGTGGATTACTTGGCATGTGGCATCTTCATATAGTTGTTGAATGAGGCGGATAAAGGTTTGCGGCACTCCGTAGTAATGAAGCAGCTTCCAAATTACCTCTCGGTCGACGCTGTCAAAGGCCTTCTCAAAGTCGATGAAGTTGAGGTGGAGAGGTGATTGCCATTCTATGCTCTGTTCTATGATGATGCGAAGCGTTGCAATTTGGTCTGCACATGATTTGTACTTCCTGAAGCCTGCCTGTTCCGGTCGTAGTTTTGAATCCAGTGCATCCCTTAGCCTCTCCAGGATGATGCGGCTTAATATTTTACTTGGGGTGGACAGGAGAGTGATTCCGCGCCAGTTCTTGCAAGCACTGAGGTCTCCCTTCTTCGGCAGTTTGACAAGGTAACCCTTCTTCCAATCGTCAGGTACCTTCTCTTCCTTCCACACCTTCTGCAATAGTGGTGTGAGCATGGCCGCTGTTGTCTCTGCATCTGTTTTCAGTGCTTCTGGCGGTATTCCATCTGGTCCTGCTGCTTTCCCACATTTCAGTAGCTTTATGGCGTTCAGGACTTCCATTTTCGTTGGGGGATTTATGTTCACTTGTAATTCAGCGGCTGCAGGTGGTATTTCTGGACGAAGTGCAGGTGGTGGTCGATTCAAGAGCTTCTTGAAGTGGTCGGCCCATCGTTTCCTCTGTTTCTCTTCTTTTGTAATTAAATTTCCTTCTTCATCTTTTATTGGTTTCATCTGTGTTGGTCTCTTCCCTGACAGCAACCTGGTTATTTGATACAATGTCGTCAGGTCTCTCTTACCTGCAGCCTGTTCTGCTTCACTTGCCAGTGTTTCGTAGAAGTGTCTTTTGTCGTTGCGTGCACTCTTCTTCACTTCTTTGTCCAGTGTTTTATACATTGTGCTCAGTTCCTCTTGTCGTTGAGCATCCTTGCACTGGTTTATCTTCCGCTTCACCATCCTCCTCTCCTCTATCAGCTTCCAGGTATCCGTCGAGATCCATTCCTTGTCTTCCACCTTCTTCCTTCCTAATACTGTTGTGCAGGTTTCTTTCCACATAGCTTTCAAAGACTTCCAATGTTCTTCCACACAGGTTTCTTCAGGGATGTTGCTCGATGTCTCCCATTTTGTCTTGATGGCTGCCTTGAAGATCTCCTTTGTAGTTTCATCCTTCAGTTTCCGAGTGTTGTACTTGAATTGAGGTCTATCACCAGCTTCCTTGAAGGCTTTTAACTTGATTTGGAAGGTTCCTTGCACTAGGTAGTGGTCTGAACCTACATCTGCTCCTCTTCTTGACCTCGTGTTAAGTAGACTGCGTCTCCATTTTCTTGAGATTGAGATAAAGTCGATTTGATTTTTAGTGTGTCCATCTGGTGAAATCCATGTCGCTTTGTGGATATCTTTGTGCCTGAACACACTGCCTCCAATCACCAAATCGTTGAATGCGCAGAATTCTGCAAACAATTCTCCATTCTCATTCATTTCACCTAGTGCCTCTCGACCCATGGTTAGTTCTCTTCCCGTGTTGTCCCCTCCCAGTTTGGCATTCATGTCGCCCATCAGAATTTTGATATCGCCAACTGACGTCTTGTCCAGTGTTGATTGAAGTTGTCTGTAGAAATCCTCCTTTTTCTCTTGCTCTGCATTATTTGTAGGTGCATAACATTGTATGATTGTGACCTTTCTTCCTTTTGAGTTGAATCTTGCTGTCATGATCCTGGAGGAGATTGGTTCCCACTGCATGAGAGCCTTCGATGCTCTTGAGGACATCATGATAGCCACTCCCTCAGTGTGCTCGTGGTTGGCGTCTGGGTGACCGGAGTAGATTATTGATTCTCCAGTTGACAGTTTGGAGAGTCCACTCCCATTCCATCTGCTTTCGCAAATCCCAAGCACTTCGATGTTATACCTTCTCATCTCCCTTGCAATCTGGGCTGCCTTACTGGGTTCAAACATCGTGCGGACATTCCATGTCCCCACGTTTACTTTCGCTTTCATCGAGAGAAGACACATCGGCCAATTGGCTTCCCGAAGGCTTTCACCAACTGGCGTCATTTCGCCTCTCCGATTCCAGCGGGGAATAAGTTTGTTTTCATTTTTTATATTTTGTTTGTGCTTTGAAGTTTCTTTAGCGGTTAGATTTGTTTTACGGGGTAGGGTTGCTAGCCCTATGCCCAACCTTCCCTCTTTACCCGGGCTTAGGACCGGCTAGTAACTAGTAAACTAGTTAACCAGGCGAGGTTTCTTTGTAATATATATATGTAATATTTAAAAAATGTTCTCCTGCTTGGTTTTGTACGGGTGAAAGGACAGCTGCTCATATATGATGTCTGTAGTTTGTTGGAAATGTTTTTCGTGGCGCGCCAAGTTCCTGAACCATCACATAGAAGCACTGATTTGACTGAATTCTTGTTGAAAATCCGGATATTGTTATTTATGCTGAGTGGAGTGCAATAGATCTCCATACTTATTTCAGATTAATCAAGGCCTGTCTTGCTGTCTTTAACGTCCACATCTGTGCCTATGCCGCCTATAGTTGAAACGACGCTGTCTAGCCAGGTGTAGGTGAAAGAGACTACTTTCTTTAGGTTTCTCCACTTATAAGTGATTGGTGCCTGTTGTCGACGTTGTTGTTAGTTAGGTATCTTCATCACCTCTGTCTCCCCTACATTCACTTGAAGTCATGTCTTCCCTGCCTCGCCTCTTCTGTCAATGATAACGTGCTGACCACAAGACCTGAAGTTGCTCAGCCCGATCACTGGCCATGCGCACATTGTTGATGAGTTCTACACCACGACAGCAGTACAGTACTCTCACATGTTCAGTGATTCTGTAAGTGATGTCAGTCTGTGATGAAGACCAACAGATCCAACCAGCTTACCCCTGTTATAGTGTCTCTACTTCCTAAAAAACCCCAAATCCCTGAAGCTTTTTATAACCAATCATGTTCCATCGATGTCTCGAGAGAAAGAACATGCACCACAACATGTAAATATCAGATTGGTTGAAGAAACAAAACATCAATAGGATTTTCAAATCTAGAAGGGTCTGGACTTAGTCAAAGTCAGTGTAAATATATATAAACTCTTGTGCTTTGTATCTGTTGCTTTCCTACCACCCTTTCCATTTATTGAGAAGCTGAAAGACTATCAAAGGATACAATCTGATGTATCTCTACAATTTGTTGTTATTGTAACCTGCCAAGTTTCTCAATCATCACATGAAAACACTGACTTTACTGAAATAGTGTTGAAAATTCACATCTTGTTTCTTATGATGAGTGCAGTAGATCTCCATAAATAAAACTATACATATTTTACTATTCTAGGTTGTAAGTAGTTGGTGAGATACTGCCGAATTAAAATGTATTCATTTTATTCTACTACTCCTAATGCTATTTATATTGTCATATATATAGATGATTCCATTTTTATCAGTCATATTTCTTCTCTTACAGGTTGAATGAATATCGGAAAACTTCAAGTATATCAAGAGATAAAGAGCAAATAACTGCCTCTTTTTGTGTTACGTCATCACCTCCAGTGGTAACTTATGTCGACTTCATGATCAGACAAATATCCAATACACATCTATTATTTGAATTCTTAACTTATTCTCTATTCCTTTGTGAATTCAACAGTCTATTGCACTGCTAATTATATGCAGAATGAGTTATTTTCTGAGCTAGGGATTTTGTTGGTAAACATTTCAGTGTCATGCTAGACATTATCATCATCATCATCATCATCATCAGTGGATTAGAGCTTCATATCTACCCCTCTGAGCTGTAAATAGTTGCTATAATTGGTGATTGTATCTCAGATTGTTAATCATACAAACTGGATCACATTCTGTTTTCCGTGTAGCAATAATGGAGGTAGGTAACAAGGTTATGAGATTTGTGTCTGGAAATAGTTAGCATCATCAAAATAACTGATTGATGTATATACTTCACAGAATCATATTTTCTTTATTTCTTGTGAAATGACACTTTTAAAAACACCTGCTTGTTTTATCTTTTTAAATGACAGTTATAAAATAAGCGACAGATATAAAATGGAGGTAGACTGATGGCAAAGTGATAACCATCTAGTAAATAGGGCTAAATAGTTTGCAATTTTCCAGTTGTTATTCATCGTAGACTGACATCAGTTGGAGGAACAAAGGAAACTTGGGAGCACTGAACAGCTGTTTCGTCCTAGTATAGGACTCCTCAGCAGTGAGCACCCACCACCCCACCAGGGATTGAACCCGCGACCTTCAGGTTCCATGGCCAGCACGTTACCATTGAGTTAGCCACTGGGTCAGAATTCAATGGTGCATATTTCCAACTTCTGCTGGCTCGCGATACTAGGACGAAACAGCTGGCCAGTGCTCTCAGGTTTCTTTTGTTCCTACAACTGATGTCAGTCTACGATGAATAACAACTTGAAATATTTCCATATCCCCACAACTCCCTTAAAATTAAACTGGACTGGTGCTCATTGGTGACTACCTTCGAGAGGTATTCCCGAAGTTGCAATAAGAAGTCGTGACCGGTGGAAGCAAAGCCTGATGGTCGTGAGGATAGTCATTCAACGATGACATTGGGTGGCGGTTGCGCTATATTGTGAGCTAACAGAAGTTGTAAATATGCACGATTAAATTCTGACCCAGTGGCTAGCTCAAAGGTAAGATGCTGGCCACAGGACCTGAAGGTCGCGGGTTCAATCCCTGGTGGGGTGGTGGGTGCTCACTACTGAGGAGTCCCATACTAGGACGAGACAGCTGTCAAGTGTTCCCAGGTTTCCTTTGTTCCTCCAACTGATGTCAGTCTACGATGAATAACAACTTGAAATATTTCTAAATCCCCACAACTCCATTAAAATTCAGTTTTAAAATTGTTAGATGTAATATTGCTTTTTAACAATACCCCCTATATTTGATCACTTTCTCTGTCTCCTCTCAACACCAACTTGGAACTAGCAGTTTTCTATGAACTAGTGGTGCTACTCTTATCACCAGAAACAAATTTGTTCAAAAACTACCAGATGTTTTTCTATTTTTCATCTTCATAATTTGAATTCCATCACCACTTTAACATTTCATACCCTTCATCCCTTTACTGAAATTGTATAAGGCAATGAGAACACTATTCCCCGAGTAAGATGACATCAAATTACCTCATCGGTTGCATACAACTCCAATAAATAAGTAACTTATCAATGTAGAGAATATTAACTTACCTAATGTCGAGAGTTTTGTAAGGTTTCAGTTAATGTTTTGGAAAACACCGATCATTATTATTTTATTATTTGTCCCTTAGGTTCCTAGTGGAACATAGGGCTTCAGTAGCACGTCTCCATTTAACTCTGTTCCCTGCAATTTTTGAACCTGGCTCCACAACTGCCCAGAAGCTCTCATTTCTTCCTCACACGATCTCCTCATGTCATCCTCAGACGCCCAACTCATCGTTTCCAATTTGGGTCCCACTCGAGGATTTGGTCTGGCACGTGATGTCCCTGAATGGTCTTCTCAGTGCATGCCCAATCCATCTCCACTTCCTTCCACTGCATACTTGTTGAGTGATAGGTTCTTGCTCCGTTGGTTCGTTGCCATACAGCCAGAGTCCCTTGTTGCTAATTCTTTCTCGCCTTCTCATCTGAGCTTCAGTAACCAGCCAGCTTAGGCAGTTGTTGATGAATATCTGTAGTTTGTTGGAAATCCCTTTCGTGACACGCCAAGTCTCCCAACCATATCGAAGCACTGACTTGACATTAGTATTGAAAATCCAGATCTTGTTCCTTATGCTGAGTGCAGTGCAGATCTCCACAAAGGTTCCATGTTAATGAATGCCTGTCTTGCTGTCTTTCCGATCCTGGCTTTGACATCCTCGTCTATGCTTGTGCCGCTTGTAGTTGAACTGATGCTGCCTAGGTAGGTGAAAGAGACTACTTTCGTTAAGTTTCTCCCGTTGATGGTGATTGAAGCCTGTTGTTATTATAATTCAGATTGCAAACGACGTCTTGATAATAAATTCAGTCGAACAAGATACACATTATGTAAGGTAAGATGAGGAATATTCACGAATGAGTAAGCAGACATGGTAACGTAATCATGTGAAAGTACTGTATCAACAAAAATGTAAGTGGGGTGCAGGGTGCGCGTTTCGTCCTACTCGGGATTCTTCATCTGAATGTACCTGAGCCCCAGTGAGTGACGGTGTTCCTACTGAGGCTTGACCCCACCAAATTGTTATCCACTAGGGCACGATAGCTGCTTCATGTACAATGAGCATCAGATTTTTCTGTCTGATAATTATCATTTCGCGTTGCTACACGGGATCGAATTGGTCAACGTCTGCCTTCAGATGGGCTCCTATACAGATACCTCGATACTGCCGGATATTCATCATGTCGTTGTGAGTGCACCACTCACGATGGTGCGGGTACACCCAGCTAACGGTGCCCAAAAAAGGAAGAAACACACGTCCTGGGTTCAACTGCTGGCCACCAAGTAGACTATAACAAGTAGTGAGTATCAAGGAAGTATCGAGGCCTCCGCATAGAAACCCATCTGCCAACAATGATCGAGCAAATTCGATTCAGTCTAGAAACCGAAAATCACAAGTGTGAAAATAAAGGTATTCCAATATATTGAGAAAGGTGAGAAGTTACTAATTACCATGGTAATAATAACTTGGTAACTGTCTCTTTTTGAACACACAGTTCAGGTTGAAGTCATCGGATAGTGGCGGTGTCAGCAATTTTAAGTAAGCGCGAAATCTGTTGACTACTACGTAGGACTTAATTTTGTCTACCTGGTGTCACACATCACACAAGTGATACGCTATCGTACTACTAGATGAGGATGAACCTCTGTGATATCGATTCATCGATATGCTCTAGAATCCTGGTAAACAAATGCTTTACGTAAAACTCTTGTGTCAAAGATCACACCTGGTGATCTTGACTGATGAGTGATTTCCACCGAAAATCCTTTTGACTCCACAGTTAGGCGGTTGAGAAAACTACTCAACGTGAACCTTGTTATTTGTAAAAAAAAAAGCCTAGAAATTCATCAAATAGTATGCTACCCTGATTATATCAGCCGATTTACTGGCCAGGGAAATCTCCAGACCAACCTAGGTGACCCCTAACTACTTATTTAGTTCAGTAGTCTATTCCCTTAGATATCGTTCCATTCTTCCTACATACTTACTTCTGCGTGTATATGTGAACTGATGAGTAAAGTTGGGTTTAAAAACATCGAGAATGTTTTCTATTTGGATTGTGCAGTTGCATATACTGTTCGATACAATGAAACAAGTCCCATAGTTGGATAAGTCTTGAACACTGAACCTGTAGTTCGTCTGTTATAAGGTAGGATATTGTTTTCTGAAGGTATGAAAATGTGCGTTAACAATTTCAGATAAAAAAGAGTAAGATTTTGACGAGATATTTTGTTTCCACCTCATCAAACGATGTGACTTTCCACGAAGCCCAGTCTAAGTAATGATGCAGAAAACTGATATCGAAAGTATTCAAGACTTCACCGATGAGTGTATACATTTGCTTCGTCGTGATCGATATGGAACCATGGCATAAAGAGTCTGCAATCGCTGTTTTCTATCATCTCGAGAAGCCCAGGCAGGTAGTCTACGTCTATATATACGGCTCAGACAAGATATATAATGGACTGTTATCACGTCTTGGTACCACCACCATAACCTTCTTCAAAACCAATGTTACTTCAGCTGACATTGTAAACTGAGGTAGACAGTGACTTGGCATGTATAATAACACAAATCCAAACCAGCTCAGTCGATGAAGGTATAAAAGCGCCTCGGTTGACTTGTCTTTCTTGCTTGGCACCCTAACCTAGGACCAAAGAAGGCAAAGTTGAATGGTTTCATTTGCCTAGACACTAAATTATGAAAGATGAACAGATTTGATGAACTGTACAATTTTTTAACACCAATAAATGATCACTGTAATTGTGTAGGCGTAAATTCGGGTGAACTAAACAAATGCTGAAGAATCAGGAGACGGTACTTATAAAATAGAACATTGCTGATGAGATTACCCCAAAGAAGGGGTGAAACAGTTGTTGGGTGTTTAGATCACTGTGATTTGAATGTTGGGCGAAATATACAGATCACCGTAAGGGGCTCCTAACTAATCAATCCGTTCAGTGGTAGTATATTTCGTTCGGTGTAATACTCATGTTGCAGACACTCGATAATTATGCCTCAAGATAGTTCATCCTGGTGCAAATGAATACAGTTCAAATCATTTTCTGAATTTTAAACACAGTACTACATATCTCCCATTTTAATAAATACTAACTGATACCTTTATGACGACCTGAATCGCAGCAGGCTTTACACATCAGTCTCTTAGTTGGTTGAAGGAAGTCGGCAGGAAGGCGTATCTCAAACCTAGAGCGAAATGATACCTCCCATGAGATTTGAATCCTGGTCAACCAGTGTTGTGGTCAGAGACGTAACCAATGAGCTCTCTGGACTGCGATTGACTTTATGCAGGAGTGAACTAGGTACGCGGATTGGTCTTGTTGTTTAGTCCTATATGGTGATCAAATCCTGTCAAACAGTGTTCAATGTGGCGATCAGGCTAGACGACTTAGCATTATGATGCACTTTGAAGGATATTAGTGGTTTGCAGGTTATCAGCATGAACTGGAGCGGAATCATGCCCCACCTAAGTCCACCTCGAGCAAAATGTTAAGACGCATCATCCTGAAGAGACCAAAAAA